CACCAGCCGTCCTCAGAGGGTTGTGTTTCAAGGAGCCGGACAGGATTGTCCTCACGACCGACGCCAGCCTGTTCGGTTGGGGGGCTCACATTCAGTCTCACTGGGTACAGGGCCGTTGGTCCGCATCAGATCTACGACACAATATAAATTGGCTAGAGTTGAGGGCCATCCATCTAGCGCTCCGACATTTTCGCCATCTAGTATCACGGCGACACGTCCTGGTCCTCACGGACAATGTGGCAGCCAAGGCACATATAAATCGCCAAGGGGGAACTCGATCTCGGAGCCTGATGGCCGAAGCTCTTTCGTTGGGTCTCTGGGCAGAACGCAATCTGGCATCTATCATGGCAGACCATATTTCGGGGGTGGCGAATACACAGGCCGATCTTCTGAGCAGATCGACGATAGATCACGCGGAGTGGAGACTCCAACCGAGGATCTTCCAAGAGATTTGCCTCCGTTTTGGTCTTCCTCTAGTGGACCTCTTCACGTCCCCGTACAATGCCCATCTTCAACGTTTTTTCTCCTGTTTTCCGACGTTGGGGGCGGAACGGACGGATGCCCTTCGGAGTCCTTGGCCGCAGGGCTTGCTTTACGCATTTCCCCCTCTGCCAATTCTACCGGCGGTAATCTGCAAGATTCTTCAGGAGCGAGCGGAGGTTCTTCTGGTGGCACCCTTTTGGCCACGGAGGCCTTGGTTCGCAGATCTGGTGAATCTCTCAATCAGCGATCCTTGGCGGATTCCGTCGGATCAGGTTTCCCTCAGCCAAGGTCCCATTCTGCATTCCGATCCCCAGTGGCTCCAGTTGGCCGTCTGGCACTTGAGCGCTCGATCTTAACTGGAGAAAGCTGCTCACAAGGGGTCATAAATGTTATTCAGGCGTCGCGCCGTCCGTCCACGAACCGCATATATGAGGCCACGTGGAAAAATTTCCAATCATGGTGTTCCGGACGGAAGTTGTCACTTTCGGCACTTACGGTGCCAATTATCTTGGATTATTTATTGGAAGGTTTGGAAAAAGGTTTAGCCCCTAATACCCTTCGCAGGCAAGTCGCAGCTTTGTCTACAATCCTCTCATGCGACTCTGCTGAATCACTGGGTCATCACCCCTTGGTAAGGTCGTTCCTTAAGGGAGCCTCCAACCAAAATCC